GTCATGTGCATATTGACCTGGTAGGTCCGCTGCCACCATCTAACGGTTCTACCAACATGCTGACATGCATTGATCGTTTTACTCGGTGGCCGGTTGCTGTGCCTATTCCGGACATCAGTGCCGAAACCGTAGCAAGAGCTTTCTTGACTCATTGGGTGTCCAATTTTGGAGTTCCTGCGACTGCCACCACTGACCGCTGATCCCAATTCGAGTCCACGCTGTTTCGCGAACTCACTTCCCTTCTCGGTACCAACTGAATCCGAACAACAGCGTACCACTCTCAAGCAAACGGTCTCGTCTAACGTTTCCATCGACAGCTCAAGACTTCCCTTATGGCCCAGCCTGATCCTTCCCGATGGTCTGATCACCTTCCCCTGGTGCTGTTGTCCCTCCGTTCCACTCTCAAGGCCGACATCGGTTGCACTGCAGCTGATCTTGTCTACGGAACCTCCTTACGACTGCCCGGTGAGTTAGTTTCTCCTTCAAACACGCTAACGTTTTTTGAACCTTGCAGTTATGTGGAGCGACTACGTTGTGCCATGCGCAATCTCCGCGCAACGCCCCCTCGAGCGTCACCGGCCAATTCCTTCATCCCTTCCGACCTGGATAAGTGCGATTTCGTCTTGGTTCGGCATGACGCTGTCCGACGACCACTCCAACCACCCCATGACGGGCCGTATAAAGTCCTTCGCCGATCTGACAAAGATGTTGTCATCGAACGCAACGGCAAGACCGACACAGTCAGCATTGATCGCGTCAAGCCGGCCTACAGCGACGACAGTGACCATTCCTCACCTCAACAACGCACCCCGCCTCAGACAGTGCGGCCTCCTCCACCTACTGGCGACAGCCACCCTCCGGTTCGCCACACACGATTTGGTCGCCACGTCCACTGGCCCGACAGGTTTGTGGCTGGCTAGCGTGTCGACGCCTTCACTTTGTTTGGTGTCTGGGGGGGAGTTGTAGCAGCTGCTCCAGTCCCCCTTTTCGCCGGCTCCGTTTTGTCGGTCGATGGCCGTGACAAGCACTGACAGGCCGCTGACGCACGACCACTCCCGCCGGCTAGAACTGGGACGCCTCCGGTCCAGCTGCAGCGACCCCCGGCTGCACTCACAAACTAGTATCACCTAACGCGCGTCGAACGCTTTGGCTTGATTCCCGTGAGGCCTTGTGAGTATGCGCCCTCCATTCCTCCCCTACTTTGTCCAATCACACAACCAACACTCAGCCAGTCACCCCTCCTGCTGACCCAGACGCACACCCGCGTAAACAACACACACACCGTGACTGACGCTCTCCGTGAACGGACGCTTTTCTCTGTTGCAAGCAAACCGCCAACTTACGGCAACCTGCCCTGTGTACAGAATAAACTAGTCCTCACAGCTCCCTGACTTCTGATAGTAGACGAAACGAACTTATTGTGCGTGGTTTAAGTTGATCTCACATACTTGATCCGCCACATTCTCTAATTGGAACTAGAGCATGTTGCAGTGGAGGAGCCTCGGCTGTCGTCTTTCTATCGTAAACAGTAGACATCAAATCTGTGTTCGCCTGTGATTCCAGTGAGTGCTGACTTTACTGGACTAACCAGTAACATCAGACTCAGGGCGATCGAATGTCTTCCTTATTCGTTCCGGCAAGCTTGCATTAATGTTGGAGCCCGCCCTCGATAGTCAGTAGGATATAGTGGCCTTATGTGTCTGCAAACATCCTGCATTGCAGTTAGCGAAAAGGGATTCACTCTAGTCGGCAAATTGTCCAGTTTTCTCAGAGACGACTCCCTCCACTCTGACCCTCAAGTCTTAACTTCCAAGACCCGAAAGAGCCAGACTGCGTTTATTGTCAATAAAGATTTTCGAAGAATCGTGCGACAAACGGAATTGTCTCACCTTACTCACAAACGGTAATAAAGGATATTTTAACTTATGACCGTGGAAGCCACATGGAGCCCGCAGACAAATTTTACGCGTCTGAAATTCTCTTGAAGCTCCAATCTTCCACTTAAGGTATGGAGTAAACTTTGGAGGAACCCGCAACACAGAATTAATCAGTGATCATCAATGCCTATCAAAAGTGTTCGACGACGTCTGAAAGAACATGTAAAAAAAGTACACTCGAGCATTCGTAGGAAATTTTCGACATTATTTTAACGGGACACATTTAGATGGTGTCCAGAATTCAAAGTAAACGGCAGACTCGATCCTCCCCTCCTGGCACATGTCCCAGTCTAAGGGCTAAAACAACCACGGATAGACCGGTACGCGGTCTAGTCCGAGTGTTTGGTCGTGTTTTATTTTCGGCACAATAAGTGGTAATACTGCAAGATTCTGCACGTGGGCACGTTCCTGCTAAAGATCAGGCTGCTAAAATATGTACACAAGCCAACTGCGCCTGCAAGTTGTTTCTAGACGATCCAGATGGACCGAGCCAACTTTCGGAATAACATTTACTGTTTCACCATACGGACGGCGTCGATTTGCCCAACGTTCTTCCATCTGCTGGAGTTTAAACAGACATCCCTCTTAATCGCAGTTTTCCGTAAACAAAATGACAGGAAATATTTAACTTAAAAGATTGATTAAACGGACTGCTTTAGAGGAGGAGCTTGCCCACGTTTTTTGTGGTACAGAAACTTGGGCGGTTAAGGATCAAAAGTGCCTCAAAACAGTTCAGAGGGGAGCCACGAAGATGGTTAGTGCCAAAGCTCCTTTCCTTATGCAACCCGCCTAGTAAATCCGAACCTCTTGCCTTTGAGTTACAGGTAACTTCGTGGGAAGCGCTTGCAAGCAGTCCGCATTATGAAGGGTTCCGATTGCAGCCTGACCATCTAGGGCTTTTTTGAATTGGCTACCACGACCAACGTCCGAGGCCGCCCGGTTAAACTGCGTACTCAGAAGGCAAGGATGGATGTGCGGAAGTCCTTCTTCTCTGTTTAAGTGGTCATAGAATGGGATGCCATCCTGCATATATTTTAATGTCACCATGTATACAATGGGCTCGTTTGAACTATTTCAGGCCAGAACATTTTTCTGCATACCACCTATTTTTTGAGTTGCAAATAGGGTACCCAAAGGCTTTCGCCTATTTCCCTCAATAAACTGAAATTTAAAAATTACCGATTAGTTGTGCGAAAAATGAAAGACAAACAGCCCTCTGTACGGGTCATGGTTTCTTACATCCCAGTTTGGATGTGTGACAAGTCCATGCGCAAGCAGCTTCCCATCGGGTTAATTAATTGTGTGCAAAAACGTACATTTTAATTTCACAGGATGAAATCAGCCAGCAAGGTAGGTCTACCGTCGGCCATTAAACCGAAACCCCCGTTAGCCAGACACAACTGAAAATACGTATTTTCACCTCAAGACTGTCTTTACTGAATGCCAATAACCCTTATACATATTCCCGAATGGCCATTTAAACCATATCGTCGCCAAACGTTCAATTAATGCCCCATTTGTCATTATATCTGCTCAATCATATGACAGCAATACAAAGTCGGTATGAGAGTAACTTGACTATTCAATGTCCTTCGAGTCTTTGCACCTCCAACCCGCGTTTGAAAACTGACTAAACAAACACGAGTGAAATACAAAGGCGCCGGTCTTCTGTTTTCGGAAGGCTGTTTTGCGGTTGTTCCGATTTGATTGCGAAGCTACATTTCGTCATAGCATTGTCTTCTTACACCTGTGTGATGGGGATTTATCCACGTAACATACAGGGATATTTCATTGAATGCCATCCGATCCGCCCTTTCTAAAAAGCAGACGGATTTTTCTTCCGTGAGAAACTATGTCATCAAATCACCAGCAAGACGGCGTCCGCTCCTCCCGGGAGTCTAACTCTTTGTTCGTCGGACCAAATTTTCGAGTTGGGAAGAAAATTGGGTCCGGAAACTTTGGAGAAATTCGGTTAGGTAGGTAGCGAATCTTTACCTTCGTGCACAAAGATGACATGCCATTATACCGGCACTTTTTAAGGACGCAATTTACGTGCTTCGTTTTCTTCTTGAAATCTTAATGAATGGCGTTTGCTTATTGTCGTAAGCATCATGCCCCGAGGCATGGGATGAATATTCATCATGCAATTCTCGACGCGTCTCTGCCTCGAGCTGCCGGTAACCCCGTCCACTTCAAAAGCCCCATCCCCACTATATCGCGTTTTTTCTCTTTTACCAAACGGCACCCTCCTTCATGGAATGTTTACGTCCTTTATCTAACATTTATATGAGGTTTAGGATGTGTTTAGACAAACAGGACACATGATTCGGCTCGTTTCGTCGTTCATTTTGCCGTAAACGACCTCCGTCTCATTGTTATCTCTGAAACCGACTTCCTCATCAGAAAGAATGAGGACACACCGGGCAGGGGAATCCAACCTAAAGCCTTGGCGATTTGTCTGACTCCGGGGAGACGGCGCGCTCCACCCCACGCTGAGCCCTTTTTCGTCGTGGCAGTCAGCCGGAAAGGTGTACAGTTTGTCTGGGAATTAAGGACTCCAGAATATCATGTTGCTTCTTTGCGGATACCCATAAAAGTATCAAACCATACCCACCACTGGAGGGCTTGGGATCGATCTATCAAGGGTGATTAAGTTCAGGGCAGTTAGCAGGCGGACACTGCAGCGGTTAAAGTGGTGTGCAAGAGGGATAACGCTTAAATTGTTGGAAAGATCGAGGACCGAAAAGCGGTTTTAGAGGCAGTCGGAAACTGGCCGACAAAATGCGGAAACGTGACGAAAAGAGACAATAAGCACTAAACAGATTACGAGATGTGGATCGCTTTTGATTATTCAAGAGTTGCGCCAAATACCATAAACATGAGGCAAAAGTTTAGTATGTAACGGTCGTGGTCACAAGCAATTCAGATTTCAAACTCATGATATGGATATTTTCCCGACCATGCTAGCTTGTATCACTATGGGCCACCTTGGCTTCTACAGGTAGTCAAGATGTCCCTTAAATAATCTGTATTTGGGGGCAAGAATGACTTGAAACAACCAGCTGGGAGGCTTCATGATATTCTGCAAAAAAGTTGTCTCTCGGACACACGCTCTCGATTCTCGTAAGGCCTTTTGGGACAGTCCTCCTAAATTGCCCCTACAACTGTGTTGCATCGCTCTGCCCTCTTCATCCTGCCGACACCTGAGCACCAGTCACTTCCTTACCTTTCTATCCGACGCATGATCAGTTTATAGGTGTGACTCCCATGCTTACCCGTCCATGTGTCACTGCAAATTTCTGACTGCAATGCCACTTGACCCAGGCTACTCTCGTGATAAGCTAATCCTGTTCGGCTCTTTGATGTGGCGAGAACAGTAAGCGCATCTAGTCAGTAATTCTAATTTACCCTAGGACGATCTTGTTGTCCATTTCCTATGCGATGGCACTGCACTTTACCATCGGTGTGGAATCATTCTACACCTAGCCGGGCTATTTGTAGTCTAGAACATGTTAAGGAGGCTGTTCACGTCATCCTAGCCACGGAGGTGGTACCTCCAAGAGACTTAAATACCTGCTTACTTTTCTGGTGTAAACTCGTAAACTCTTAAGCATCCGTCGTTTCATCATTATATTTCGTCCATCGTAATCGATGATGGCTATTATAATTTAACTGAGCGTAACGTTCGTCTTATGTTTGGTGAGTTTGCAGGCGTGTAGACCTGTCTTCCTTTCCGATGCATTGACCGTCGTGCTATTTAAATGGAAACGAACATTCAACACTGCCAGAAGGAGTGAACTCATTGCCATTGAAACCACTTAGAAAGACGCTGTGGTGTAACAAGGCACTAGGAGCGATTGTCAATCCAACAAAGTGGACAATCTAAGTATATTACAACTATTATTTTGTAATGTGTCACAAATTCCTTTATGTGGTACAAGCGTCGGCCAACCTATTGATAGTTCTCCTTAGCAGTAGGTATC